CGACAAGGACGACTTCAGTCGTAGAAAGCTTTCATGATCCGCAAGATCGAAAGAAGCGGAGAGAAACCCTATTCCCTCAAATAGATATACTCATGAATACACATACACATACACATACACATACATATAGACGATAAGACTGAGTATATAGATAGACGCAGGTTTCTTTTTTTTTCGGTGATAGCTGCCACGTTCAAAAGGGGGAATTTAAAAAATGAAGGGCAGATGAGCGGCTCCAATTTCTCGTCCCTTTGAAAAAGAGAGATATCGGCGTCATTCATGCTGAGGCCTTTCGCGCCCTTTCGACGTGCGAGGGGAACGTAATTATACGTGTGCCTTTCATCCGTCGTCAGGATAGATAGATTCAGTGAACCAACAAATCCAACTAATTCTGCCGATGTATATCTGTATGTGTGCTACGTCTATCCATCTACGTATACGAGGTGTCACTTCTCGAGATGACGACTTTTATAAACTTCACCTCTAGGATAAACTAGATGGTAATTGTGTTTCGCGTCTCTTCAAAATATAAAATAGATAATCGAGTGTTTCCGATTATGTGTATGCATGTACCACTTTATATATGCTTCACTTTACACGTGTAACGTGCTTTACTTCAAAAACTTCAGAATTTACAATTTAAATAATTGGACGGATACCGTATTACATAAGCAGGAGTAATATCGATTTAAAGTACATATATATATATATGTTCTTCTTTATCCTTATGTTTCTCTTTCTCTTTCTTTCTCTTTCTATTTTTTCTTTTTTTTTTTTTTAGTAGGAAGAAACATTGTTAATAGACACTCTCTTTTTCTCGCTCGTATGAAAATTGAATTTTACACAAGAGGTGCTTCTTTCCAAAGATTATTTTTTCATCAATCAATACGATTGATAAAGAAAATAGAAAAAAATTTGATGGATTGTAAAATAAAATATAAAAGATAAAAAAAAAAAAAAAAAAAAAGAAAAGTATCAGGCAACATTTATTGTCACGGCGTGTTGATATAATTAAAAACAGTCAACTTCAATTTTCGTGGCAATAACTTCATTATCGAATCGTGCGAAGTATCTCCTGGAATTTGAACGAAAGTACGATATCAGCGAGTTTCGGATGAATGCGTTACTTGATGAGAATGTTATCTGACGAGACCGTTCGCTATGTATTTATAATGTTTGGGGAAAGAAAAAAAAAAAATAAAAGAAAATAACAAAATAATATTCGTAGCGTAATAAAATTTTTCTTCTGCTCGTGGAAAGTAATCGGATATGAAATTATAAAATATAAAATTTAAAGATCGAAAATGTCAAATAAATGTTCTCCTTAATTAATAAGAATCACGACGATGCTACGTAATAATCTACTTGTATCAAGGATTCTAGCAGATAGAGAGAGAGAGAGAGAGAGAGAGAGAGAGAGAGAGAAAGGCGAACATTTTACATCTTTTTTTTTTTTCATTTTTTAATCTTCCTTTCCTTGCAAATGGCGAAGCGAACCGCGAATCAGCTTCGTCGTCGATGAAGCAACGATTCTCTTTGTTGTATTTGAAACGTTATAACGATTACCTTATTCGGTAAAAATTCATTTCTCCTTCTTTTTATTTATTAAGAGTAGAGGACTTCAAAGAGCATAAAATTTCAAACAGATTCAGAACCGAATCGTACCACGGAATAAAATTTATTCCCTTTGGTATATATAACGTAAGGAGGATTCGTAATTAATTTGCTTTAAATCAGGTACCTTCTATTTATTTCTTTCTGTTTTTTTTCTTTTTTTTTTTTTCTTTTTTTTTCTATTTCTTTTCCCCTAATATAAAAATGAAGAAACAATTTGTCATTGATCTCGTTTTGTTTTCAGTATATATATATATATATATATATATGAAACACGTCGCGCATAATATCTGATCAAAGCTTAACTAAATAACCAGAGAAACGGACTGAAAATCAACAACCTGTTGATATTTCACGTATTTAAGAAGTACCAAATGGAATCCGTCAGTATTAATTTTTGATTGTAGTATTGGTAAAGTAACAACAATAGATCTATGATTTAAACTGATTTCGAAAATCTAATTATTTACCTCTATCTGAAATATATTCTCGGATCAATATATAACGTGGCAAAATGATACGGATAATATTACAATTAAAGTGTATTAATGTAAAAATCAAACGATTTACTATTAACAAGATAAAAGTTAATCCGCATTTCAAAATGATAAGAATATATCTACTATGATATTCTACTTTTATAACGTTTATATAATTCTAACAATTAAATTGATACTATCGATCAAAAATTCACATGACTCGAATTCCGGGATTGCATTGTCTATTATAGATACCGTATGCGATTGTAATTATACTAGGTAATATTAACAAGGACTGTTGAAACTAATTGCATTGTTCGATTAACCAAAATTCAGATATAATTATACAAAAGAGTGATTTCCATTCATTAACGATGGAACTATGAGATATATAGTTTGCTTGTAAATGCACGGCATACAAAGTCTACTTGTTTTCAGTACTAAAACGAATATATATGGGACAGGAAAGGCTACTCACTTCGAGCGGATCTTAAAAGCTTACGAAAGAGGTCTCTTTAATATTCAGTCGAGCGTAAAATTTGCTCGTTCAGGTGTCGCACGGATATTCCTGTTCTATGTACGTCTACTTTCGTAGAATGACAAGAATGTTAGTGGACGAGGAGACGAATAGGCAAAAAGAAAAGAAAAGAAAAAAAAAAGAAAAAAAGGAAAAAGAAGAAAGAAAAGAAAAGACAAAAAAAAATTGAAAAAGAAAAAAGAAAGAAAATAAAAATGAAAATTCTCCGAAAGAAGGAACGTAACGACCAAGAAGAGAGAAGAGATACTCCTTATCAAAGTTTACTCTCTTCCCTCGTTCATCCTTCATCACTCCAGGACGACACCCGCATATCTACATTGACGATCTCGAAATTGGCAGCTATTCGCGTAGAAAATTTGCATCTCCCAAAATCTTCGACTTTGGTTACTCTGGTGCCCGTATCATTCAAGACGACACGATATATCGATGTGGTTAATATATTCATCGAAATGACGAAACGACGAGAACGACGAAATCGTTCGATTCCTTTCTCAAATCGAAAAAATATTTACCTTATCGAAGAAAATAACTTTGATATCGATGTCTCGAGGCAATTCCTTGCGATCGTACGATAAACGAAATTAATATCACGGTAATTGGACATTCGAAGTGTATTGTTATATTGTTCGTAAACAGGAAAGAAAGAAAGAGAAAGAGAGAGGAAGAGAGAGAGAGAGAGAGAGATAAAAGTAAAGAAAAGAAAGAGAAGCATTTCACATCATTCTTTTCACCAACTTGTGATGGAAAAAGTAGGTCAAGCCAGATCGAATGTATAGAAAGTTTCGCATGACGCGGTAGAGGAATCTTTTACATTGTACACCAACTGCAAAGCTCGCACTCGCATATCCTGAAAGAAGGATAGAGTACTACAAGTAGATGGTAGAAAAGCTCCTGGTAAGCGTATAATCTTGGACAAGAAGGGCGATACGCTCTGACGCGATACTCTCGAATCTAGCACACTAGACGACGAAGAATGAAGAAGAAGAAGAAGAAGAAGAAGAAAAAAGAAGAAAAAAAAATAAAAAGAAGAAGGAGAAGAAAAAGTAAAGGAAAGAAAAATGGAGAAAAAAGTGGAAGGAGTAAGAAAACAAGCGCTATCCACTAATGCATATTTTTGGGCTGCCACGTTATAGACTAGTTTCTCTCTCTTAACCAACAGAGAGAAGAATCACGAAGACTATGCGAAAATAGAGGAGGAGCGTGGATTCCTGTAAGGAGGCGGAGAAAGGAAAGAAGAGAGAGAAAGAAAATCGTGCGAAAAGAGTGGAAAAAGGAGGAGGAGAAGGAGGAGGAGTAGGAAGAGACGTACTTGTACGATCCCAACCGTTTTTGTTCGTGTGGTAGAGTTAATCCCTCGTTCCTTGGACTTTTCCGCGAAAACTGCTTGGAGTTTCGACTCCTTCAGAAAGTCGAGCCAAACGGTAGGTGGGGTAGAGACTAAGGTAGGTAGAGGCGAGCAAAGTATAACGTCGCAGACGCGGACTTTAGCCTTCCTCTTGGCTCCGAAGGCAAGTGGTAAAGAATGTATATACAGCTAGAGAGAGAGAGAGAGAGAGAGAGAGAGAGAGAGAGAGAAAATAAACTATACAAGTGTTGCATAATACAGGATGGTTACCACACACGTACAGACACATCTTTTATTTCTTCACCAGAGCTTGTAGTGCGTCATCCCTCAAGCTTTCTTTTCTCACTATTCCTCCTCTTCCACCTTCGCCTCCGCCTCCTCTTTCTCCTCGTTATCCTCTTTCTCTTGGAAAAAGATATTCTCGGAGTAGTCGCTTAACGTGAGAAAGACAAGCGCCGGCGAAGATCCGACTTAATTAAATTTATATTTCAATTTCGATGGTCCGCTTTACTCGCATTGTCCTGCCACTGGTAGATATATCTTTCTCCTTCTCTTTTTCTTTCTCTCTTTCTCTTTCTCCAGGATTCTCGCGTTTTATACCATTTCCATGGTGCAACTACTGTTCCTAGGTCTAATATCACAGAAATCCTACCTGCTTGTCCTACGGAATGAAACGATCCACAGACTTATTGCGTTTCCTGTCTCCTAAAGGGTCCTCGTCTCTTAAATTAAGTCTACTTTTAAAAAGTGCGAATTTTACTTTCCATTCGTTAGTCTCTTTTTGCAGAAGAGAAGACAATGTCGTCTCGAACTAAAGCTTTTCAGAGGAAACAAATTACGAGCTTTTGGATGAAAATGAGTCGGTTTAAAAAAATACAACGTTAAAGTTTCGTGAGAGTGAAGACATTTTTTAATGACGTCGCGAGTATCGCACTTTAATGTGTTAAAGTAGAAAGAAAATTTATCGATAAGAAAAGGTAAGGGAAGAAAAGAAAAAAAAAAAAGAAAAAAATTGTAAACTTACATTGAACGTCTAACAAAATACTGGCGTTCATCGGCACAGTAAGGGTAACGTGACGGGCCACGCAAACGATGGTGGCATTGTGGTGACCCCTCAAGACTTTAAGGTGAGCTCCACTGTGTCTGGCGGACGTCGAAGGTAAGACTGTGAGGTTATCCGGTGGTTGTTCGGGACCGTCCAAAGTGGCTTGGGATAGGATCATGCCCCATGCCAAAACCGGTGGTGGGTTTCCACCCTCGGCGGCGCATTCCAATGTCAGCTCGGAGCCTTCCTTAACAGGCACAAACTGGTTTCCTGGATCCAGTCTGCGCCCATCTATTAGCAGGTACGTCCCCCGAGGTGCTTCTGTAACAGTAATCCGACCAAGTTACTCGAACCCTTCTTCGATCGTGATAACGCGGGATTGAAAGTTCCTTATTTTCTTCGATCATCTATGAGAATCGTCGATATTAAACGAACAGGGTTTAATGATCGTTTAAGGAAACTGTATAAACTCGATTTGAAGTGAAGTCTCTCGAGCGTTAACGCGCTCGTTTGCTTCAAATAAGCCATATTACATTATTATCGAGAGGGAGAGATAACGATATTATACTCGTAGAAATTCAAGAAACGTCATCGATGCATCATCGTCATTCTCGCGATTCATCTTGACTCCTTAGATTTCTACGGTTTGATACTTTAAAACAGTGTTATCCCTCGGACGGATCTTTAAGAGGATTCCCAAGAGTATGCACTCGGGATCGTAGAGAAACCGTGAAGGAGCGCGTAAAGACCGTAGGCGGATCACAATTTGCTCAACGCACGCAGCCGTTACAAAGTGCGCTCTTTTATGAGGCTACAACAACACGACGGGGCTTAACTTTCTAGACGGCTGCTTTTCTTGTTTCGCGCAGTAGTTTAGCCGTTCGTTCCGGATTGAAAGCACCCATGGGAGAGGGAGAAAGAGAGAGAAAGAGAGAGAGAGAGAGAGAGAGAGAGAGAGAGAGAGAGAGAGAGAATGCCGGCTAACGTTCTCGTCCAACTTCTTGGAATCTTACTTGAATTTTTTGCCAACTTTTTATCGAGCCGAAGGGAAGAAGGAATGATTAAAGTAAGGACTACTTGTTCAACGTTGCACTCTGCCGCCAGGCCATCGACAATAAGCAACTAACTTGTTAGCAGGATTCTCTTGGGACTTTTCTCGTTTGCGAAATAAGAATTAGTTATGACTCGATAACTTGAGTCTTAAATATGTTAACTTTATTAAGCAATCGAATATATTCCTCGATACTTTGCTCCTATCACTCTAATTATTTTTTAAATTTCATGAAATAGTTATTGCGAGGATCATGAATTTTTAAGTTAAACGATAACATCAATAAGATTCGTTCGGGGAAAATGGAAAAAGTCAAATATTCGTCTATATATTGTCGATAATCGTCCCCTTAAAAACAACATGTTTGTACTTTACGTCAAAAGTTTTCTCTAGGATATGTTGAAATTGAAACAGAATGGAGAGAATTGTCTTTTCATTGAAATAAGCATTTCCCGTCAAATATCGAATGAAAATCCTGGCGCATAACCAACGCGAATGTCCTCCTTCTTTTTTGTTCTTTTGCTTCGATCGCTTTCCCTACTGGCAATTTCCTCCGAATTTTCCCAGTAGAAAAGCTCTCTTTCTCTCTCTCTCTCCCTCTCCCTCTCTCCCTCTGTCTTTATCTCTTACTTTGAATATACAAAATGTATATCTGCATTTTATAAGTTGAAAAGAATCTTAGATACTAGTCCAATTTTCTTTTCTTTTCCTATATTTCCTTTCTCTCTCTCTCTCTCTCTCTCTGCTTCTCTTCGTTTTCTTTCCCCCCCCCCCTCTCGATATAGCCCGACAACAAACATATTCACTCTAATCATGCGCATAACATTTTCATGTAGTCAACGTCATTTTCATAAATTTTCTTAAGAACGGAATTTTAAGTTACATTAAGTAAGCGTAAGAAAAAAAAAAAAATATTAAAAAATATTTATGCCTACGTCTCATATATACAAGTGGATGTTCCTTTTTTTATACCGTTCGCGATACTCCTCTTGAGAAAGACTCGTTGATCGGTTAGAACATAGGATAGAGAAATCTCAAGGAAATCTGTGTTTACTTTGCATACACTTTTCGCTTCAATTTTGAGTCGAAAAATCACCAAGTTGGCCTCTTGGAAGAATTCCAAATCCGCATGTAACACGATCGCAAATTCATAGTGAAGATAGAGTAAGATATAGAGAATTTGAAGGAAAAGAAGGTTTTCATACTTCCAACTGTATATTCCCCTCGCAAACATACGATCTCCCTTGAAATTTCAGGGAACATACGGTGGAGATCTTGATGGCATTAGAGACAGATTTCAATGGGAGAGAAATCTCGATGAACGTTCTTCGTGTTGGTAAAATGGAAATATATTTTCCGATCTACGGACCCAATAAAAATGTGTACGAAGGAATGTTGAATACACGTAAGTTTCTAATACCAAATACGTCACGTAAACAAGAGCTTTCTCAAAAATCTAATATATAAATAAATAAATATATATATATATATATATATGCATAAAATAGATATAACATCAAAGGCAAAGCCCTCCGACCAAACGTATTACGAATAAATAATCCTTTGAAAGCACGCCAAAGTTTCCTAACGATGGCAGCCGTTTAGGTTCCGTGGTTTAATTTCCAAAAAACGTTCCGTGCTCTCGATCTTGGAGGATTTCCAAACACAATCTCATCGTCACCCTTCTGAATAAAAGGAAAATACTGAAAGAAAACTTTTTCTCTCTCTCTCTCTCTCTCTTTTCTCTCTCTCTCTCTCTCTCTTTCTCTCTCTCTCTCTCTCTCTTTCTCTCTTTTTGATATCCATTGAGAAAACGTATGATTCCCAATGAAATTCAGTTTGGAGAATACGGTACATGTGTGTTCGTCTACACGAAAGGACAAAAAGAAAAATCAAGGGAGAAAGAAAAGCATGAGCGAGATACAGCAGGTGTTAATACGGAAACATAACGGCAAGAACGCTCTCCCCGTTTCGACGGGAAGAGAATGGCGAAGATGGCATTTCGTGCACGTGGCGTCACGCCCTTTGCTACTAGGGTACCTACCTAGGACATTGGGAGCCCTATATCGACCCTATGATGCCTATAGCTCGTAAAATTTCATAATATTGCGAACTCCCTCTCCCCTCTCTCTCTCTCTCTCTCTCTTTCTCTCTCTCTGTCTATCTATCTATCTTTTTTTCTCTTTTTACGTTTCTTCCTTTTCGTTTTTCTTCTTTCGCTTGCAAAATCGACGAAAATATCGTACGACGATCAGAGCTAATTTAAAGCCTCTCAAGAGTTCCACCTTTATTACGTTTTGCTTGAAACATTCAACCAACTGTTATTGGAATTTTAAACGGTTATACGAGCCTTCGAACGAATACTCGTACCCGATGGGTGGAGCACCACGTTGGAAGCTAATTTATAAACGGAACCGCTCGATTTCTCAAGAGGAACGACGTATCGTCTAATTAGGTATAAGGCTCTAGAGAGTAGGAGGTAAGCCACGATAGTTAATGTCGTTGCGAGAAATTACTACGGAAGTTCTGTCTCTCTTGCTCTCTCCCTCTCTTTCTCTCTTTCTCTCTTTCTCTCTTTCTCTCTTTCTCTCTTTCTCTCTCTTTATCTGTCTCATAGACACATATACACAGACACACAAATACACACACGCATGAAAATACGTAGAATCTCTTGGGAGATGACGCATTCTTTGCGATTTCTAATGTCATTTTCTTAATAATGTCAAACGAGTCGAGTATTGTTAAAAGAAGCTTCGATGAAGAACACGGAACAAATCGTCGTGCTACTTCATAATATTAAAGTAGAAATTATCATGATTGGTACTTATGAGAATGCGAGCAAAAGAGAATGGCTTCGCAGAGAGAAGAGAATTGACTTTCCAACGATGACGAGGTCATCACGTGTAAAAGAGAAAGAGAAAGAGAAAGAGAAAGAGAAAGAGAGAAGGAAGAAGATTTCGAAATGCATTTTGCAAAGCTGACACGAAGGAGAGAAAATGGCATACCGGTGCAAAGAGAGGGTGTCCTCTTTCTCTCTCTCTCTCTCTCTCTCTCTCTCTCTTTCTCTCTCTCTCTCTTTCTCTCCCTCTCTCTTTCTCGCTCTTTCTGAGGCATTCAAGAAACCCGAAGGAAACGTTAAATATGCACGGCAAGTCTCAGCAATTCCGTTTCTACGCGGGACCTGGAATGTTTTTGAAAGCCGTTTAAGCGCCGCAACGTTTACGACTTAACGAGGCGTCTTCCTCTTAGTAGTTTTGCGGTACGCATGTAATATCTGTTCGCGATTAAAGGCTTTAAAGGGGGGGGGGTGAGCGGGAGAGGGGATGCGGAGAGGGGTAGGTGAGGGGGTGCCTAACAAGTAGTCTTACGTTTAAAAAGGTACGAATTTAGTTCGTTTTATTATAAAAGACTTTTATCCCGAAGATTCTCACGTAATGCATTGGCCAATAGAAAGGATGTGATGTTAAGAATTTTCCCTTTTTGTGTCTCGTACCGGATAGAATAAAGTTATGAACGTACTCACCGGTATTCCGGCACGATAAGGCGTTTACGAGAAGAAAAACCGCTTCGAAGCTCTCGATAAAGATTTAATCGAGCGTCCATGCAGACTGACAAATAAGTCGTAAAGATACGAAGCGAAGTTATATGAGCGGAGCTTAAGCCCGGGCGCCGTTAGAACGACGGGATGTTCTTCAGAGAGTAAAACCAGCCATCGAGGTAATCCAATCGGCCGTGGGAAACTACTCAGGACAATCGACCCTTCTTCTCTGCTCTGGTGGATGTCGCCGCCAATAACTATCCAGATTGCTCCGAACTGTCAATAAACCGAAGATTCCTCGTCGCCCTTCGATACCCATCGCTCTCTAAGAGCTTATGAACCCTTTTCCCACGTTATTTTATCGGTGAAAGCGTCTTTAACGCAATCGCCTTTCTAAGGATTCCACTTTCAACAAACGTTATCGTTCTCTTTATTCCGACTAAAGAAGTGAGAAACCCTTAATATGACTTTTAAATATCTTAAGTTAAGAAAAGTATATAGATAAGGTATAAGATGATTATGAAGAAAGATTTCACGAACAATAAGCGATAATTTGTCTATTCGTCGAATGTAACGTAAAGATTTGAGAATGATTACGAGGATTCATCTTTATATGTTACGATTCATCCTGAAATATTTTCACTTTAAAAATGTACGTCAGATCGGATAACGAGATACGTAAAATTGATAATAGAAAGGAGCAATATTCTGATAAAAGTTCGAAAGGATAAA